TAGCTCCTTGTCCCTGAAGGTTGAAGTTCTTCACTAACAATGGAGCAGTACGAGTCTTGCAACAACCAGACTGCGGATGCACTTGACGCTTACCAGCGTGCGGCCGATCTCGATCCGTCAAATGTACACATCAAGGCTCGCCTACAGCTTTTGCAGAACGGACAGACATCTGCAGGCGCCCCGAACCAGGGCAACGCTCCCATTCCACAAGACGTGCACCCTCAAGCCTACCAGCCTGCTTCTGTCCATGGCCCCACCGCTCCTCAATGGGGCGCTCCTCAGCCTCAACAACCTCCGCAAGGTCCTGCTCCCCCAGCCTTAGCGCCTGGATGGGATCGTCCCCTCGCTCAGATTCGCGATCCCGGCCTTCCGCCGCAGCAGCTGAACCCCTATGAGCAGCGCGAGGGCATCCGGCCACCTACTCAGCATGCTCCTCAAAGGCCTGTAAGCCCAAGACAGGAAGCACCTAGGTCATACGCAGAGCCTTCTCGCCCTCCTACAAACGGTCCTGGTCCTCAAGGCCCAGCTGGCCCCCCGCCGCCAGGTCCACCAGGGCCAATGCGCCGTGGCATGTCTCCGTCGCCAAAGACGCACCATGCTGCTCCTAGCCCTTACCATCCTCAGCCTCCGCAACTTACGCCTCAGGCTGTTCATGCACAACCTCAGCCACCACTGCACCAACAGCAGCCACCCCAGCCTAACCGTATTTCCAATCCAAACTACGGCCCTCACGCTGGTAGTGTTCCTCCACCACCTCCTCCTCCACCTACCGGTCTCGGTGGCCCACCAACTCAAGCCCCTAGCCAGAGTGCCGTGCCTCCCTATGGTGTCCGCCCTACAAGTCCCCCACCGGAAGTGCGTCCTATCGTCGAGAACCGAGCGGGATCTCCACGGAACGGCTACCAAGGGCCATATCAACACCATGCTGATCCCTCTGCCACCGGTGGTATTGCTAGCGGAGCTCCTCCGCCAGCTTCTGCCCAAACTGCTGCTGAGCAAGCAGCCCGTGAACGTGACGACAGGCCGCCGACCGCCCCACCAGTCAAACGACACCGCGAATGGGAGGCTGAATCTGATCACATGAGCGCAAAGCCTCCTTCGAACGAAGAAAAGCGTCAGAAGATGGAAGAGCCTCACAGCCGTCGTCCAACTCCCCCACACCGCATGTCATCTCCTCAAGTGCCACGTCAGAGCCCTCGAGAGGGGCCTGATCCTCGTGGCTTCAACGATGGGTACCATCCATCTGAGGCGGCTCACCACCCGCCTTCGCTTCCACCCATGGCAGCTGCGCGACCGTTGTCTCGCATGTCGGAAACACCAAAACAGGAGCGACCGGAACATCACGAGCCGGCTGCTCGACACATGGACGTCGATGAGAACTACGATGATGAGGGTGATGACGTGAAGCCCAGCGCGCCAAAGTCTGAGCGCAGCAGCCCTCGCAACGCGCCTACGAACGGCGTTCCTGCTCACGCAGCCACTCCAGCTGAGCAAAAGTCTGGTTAGGAAACCAGAGAATGTGGCTTTAGGCGTTGTATGTAAGGCCGCTTTGTTCAACAATACTTTTCTTGTTTCTAAACATTATTTACCTGGAATTTGGGGAGTTGAGGATGTCTAGTTGGAGGGCAAAATATCGGAGAGACGTGGTAACGTCCTTCCGCATGGCGATGATACCCTGCGCACCTTACATTGGTTTCGCCCTTTTGCGGGTTGTTGTGTGTATTGCTTAATCAACTACGAGAATGAAAATGCCTTTCTTGCTTGAATTTGTGTTCTACTTGCTGCGCATGCGATTCGAGTCGTGACGACTGTTGGTCTATAGGGCTTGTGATGTTGTTCATCGAGAATTAAGCCCTGGTGTGTACATGGTGGGGTCGCGCAACTGCTCGTGGAAATGCCCGCAGTTAGCCGTTGCGTCATCGCACCGCGTGGAATCGCGAAACCATGGACAGGCTGCTTCGACGTCCCCCTCGATATCCGGTACACACAAAGAACTACGCAGACAAGACAAATATCTCTACAGTATTACACACCATCCAGCGGCTCATCCACCGTAGAACCTTCTCATCGTTCTGCGCCTGTGTCCAAAACAGCCAACCCACGCGTCGTACCCTCTACTCCATCGCCTTCGTCCCACGTCCCTTCCCCTCCACACGTGTTAGTTCCAACTCGTTTGATCGGCGATCCACCCTTCACAACATGTCTTCCGACGCAGACTACGCCGCTTTTCTCGACAAAGCAAATCAAGACACCGGCTCGGCAGAGACCAAGGACGCGTCGCAGAAGAAGAGCTATGGTACCAAGAGCGTAAACACTGCCGTGCCGAAGATACTAGAGCAGGTAGAAGAGTACTACGTTAGCGATTCAGATGAACCGTTTGAACCTGTTGCGCTAGAATTCAAGGGTGACAATGTATCAGCTGGTAAGAATCCTTTCTCCGCCTGCACGGCCTTGCGAGCAGCACGCCCAAGCTAACAATGACACAGAGGACCTGAAGTCACTCATCGGAAACTCCAACGTAGAACAGGTTCAGAACACCGGCTTCGAAAGCCAATACAAAAAGGTCATGGAGGCGGTGAAGGAAGCCGGGAACGGCACCGTAAAGGTCTTCAGGGTGGAGCTCGAGGGCACGAGGGCAGAGTACTACGTTGTGGCAGTCGATGACAAGAAAGGCAGGATCGTGGGCCTCAAAGCTCTTGCTGTGGAGTCGTAAGCTTGTGTTGCACACGGGAAAATGAGATGAACTATGATGCGCAAGACGGATTGTACACATGCCGATCTACATTGAACGAGTTGAGGTCATGTGCGTGGGTGACCATGGCGCGAATAACGCCGTTTGAAACATGAGGGATGCTGGGATATGGTGGACAGTCGACGAGGGACTGCTGACAGATGGTGGAGCGTGCAGGCTATGATGCGACGTCAGAAATTCAGTTCTGGTTCAAGCTTTTCGGTGATCGTAGATCTGCGTGTTCAACGTTCCGGGTTTTGATTCGATTAGCCCTCTCGGTTTGGCACAATACTCGCGGACGTTGGATAACAACCACAATTTGAGTCATGTGTATGGTACAAGACTGTTGATCTGTGTAGCTGCATCTCTACAATGTACGATGGTCAATGCTTTGGGCTTCAGTGCGATGCTACTTCTTTTCTCCAAACCTCCTCCTTGAATTACTGGACATGTTTGGATAAGAAAACATGCATGACGGCATGATGCCTGTGCTCGAAGCACGCGGCATTGGTGAATCCACGCAACAGGCGCGAGTCGCGCAGCGCAATTCCAACCGTCAGTAGCAAGAACCTTCAGCAAGATAGCGAGTACACTTGATTGATTTATTGAACTCAGCTCGCTGGCCGCCAGCCTCGTATCCGTCAAGATGTCAGCCTTGCAATGCCGTGTTGACAGACATGTTGATTGGCTGCTGAAGCTCACTAGTCCGCCCAATCCGGCTATGCCTCGGCCGGACGATGCAAGGTTCCAGAACAGCGCTGTGTTGCTGCGCCTCCGAGCTTCATTTCGGGTGTACCCTAGGTAGCGCTTGGCGCCGGACAAGGAGATGGATCCGTCTCAACCACATTGAACGGCTGGCAAATGTCAAGAAGCCGGGCAACGGCAGTAGTCTAGGTTGGCACGAGATAGTGATGGGGTAGGATGCAGAGCCGACGACGATTGATGGTAGCGACTGCGAGGGATGGGCAAACAGAACATAGGCCAATCGACGTCTCGGGGATCCGAGAGAAGAAGGATTTGGGAAGGATCAAAAAGGACGGCGTTAGATCGCCACGCTATGTTCGGCAAGGATACGATGGGCGAGATGGTCTACACGAAATAAGATGGTGAAGGTACTTCTCAACGGCCGTTGAGCACGAGCGCACGCACATGTATCAAGTACGGTACCGTCAGGCGCTTGCGAGGTTGGGGATTGCGGGTTATTATATGTGGTCCGACGCGTAATGGTAGCTGCGATGATCTTAGGCTATCGATTGCGCGTGCAAAGCGGTATGATTTCTTGGAATGCCATGTTGAGGAGAGGGGATATGCAGAGCTAGAGGTCGGGTGCAGGAGGTTTCCCTAGAAACAATCGCATGTACCGTGGCGGGGACATGTGGCAGCGGGTCTTGACATGTTGGGTGAAGTTGTCGATAGGGAGCGGGGGACAGCAAACAGACAGACGACAGCACGAGATTTGGACAGTTGAAGGACGCATGACAGGTAATTTGAGTACTTTTTGACAGGCTCCACCATAGGAGAGCGTGAGCAAAAGTGTTGAAACGTCGTGGTAAATTTAGCAAGGCTCCCGCTGGTGTGCGTAAGCGGGCCTTTCTCTCGTCGCCGCATGCAAGCGCCGTGCCAGAGACGATTGGCCGCTCCTTAGTAGTGCTTCGAGATCTTCGCCCTCCCTGAACCGTGTGGGCCCGACTCGGTCAGGAACAAAGCCCCAAGCTCGCCCACCATCCACACATCTTGCCACCCTATGAACACTGCGCCATTCCTGCTGCTTGTTGTTCCCTCACATCACCACGCGGCTTCGCTCTTTGTTGCATTATTATTCCACCCTCGCTGCCCATCGCATTCCAACATCTGCGTCCTTGCTAGTCGAGTCCAGTCGAGTCGTGCGTCATCACTCATTCGCGCCTGCTGCCATTGAAGACCGCCTGCCCTGCCAAGTCCCTTATCCCGGGCGCCCCCCGTTTGGGCCAGGAGCCATCGATTCACCTCCCCTTGAACCTCGACCTCCCCAACTTTCCTCACGTTCTGCACGCCGCCCTCTTTCCTGCTCCCCGACAATCAGCAGTGATAGCGATAGGGTTTAGGGTACTTCGCATTCGTGGTTTTCCTACTAGCTTCATCCCTTGCCTGCAGGTTACCACAACACTCGTTTTCACCTGCATAACGACCTTGACGAATACGCCTCCTATCGCCCTGCCATCTAAAGTCGCAGCACATCGCAACATATCGCAACACATCGCCAACCCTACCGCATACGCTCCCTCGCACCATGATGCCGCAATCGCCTAGGGGAAGTGGGCCTCCCCATCTCCGCCTCAACTCGGGCTCTCACGAGCCTACCACCGACGATAACTCGCCGCCGCCTGCCGTGCGACCGAGCACCGCACGAACAAATTCAGCCCGCTCCTTGACCCAACCAACTCGTCCCGGTACTGCACCAAGCCAAAGTCCTGGCATCCGATCGCCCCATGTATACAGCGATGCAGCCATTGCAGAGTCGGCCGAGATGCTGCTGCCGCCTCAGAAGATGCGCACGCGCTCCTACCGCGACGAATCGCCCATGCAGTCGCCCTCTGGCTACTCTTCGCGGCGGACAAGTTGGAGTTCAGACATGACAGGAGGACCATTTGCTTCACCTTTTGACGACTCCCGAGCCCCGTCGCGCGCCGGCAGTGAAGAAGACTTGAACACCCAGACCGTGTCTGAGAAGTTCAACATTCACCCGTCCGCCGGTCTGTTGCTATTCCCAGAAGATGTGGAGAAGGACGACTACCTGCATAATCCCGACCCCAACGAGAAGGACAAGAGAGACTGCGACATCTTTACGAGGAGAGGTATAGTCAATCTTGGTGGCTTGGCCATCCTCGCGCTGGGTCTGCTCATGCTGTTCATCGGTTATCCAATTCTGTACGTCTTTGCGTGCCCCTTTTGTTTGCTATCGCACTAACAAATACCAGCACCTTCGTCGAGGACATCACGAAGCCCGAGAGAGGCCCTTGCACTGATAACCCTCTTTGTATAGAAGGCAAGCAAACCGAGCCGCTACTGACCAACATCCGGAGAGGTCTCATCGATCCGGACACCCCCGACGAGGTCAAGACGCGAACATCTTACAATGGCGAGAAGCAAGTTCTCGTCTTCTCAGACGAATTCAACACCCCCGGTCGCACCTTTTATGATGGTGACGACCCATTTTTCCAGGCTGTTGACATCTGGTACGGTGCTACTATGGATTTGGAGGTAAGTTTTGATGCGCCCGCTCTGAGTGGCCAGAGCTGACATTTCGCAGTGGTACGATCCCGACCAAGCCTTCACTCAAGATGGTTATCTCGCCTTGAAGTTTACCAAGGAACCTAGCCACGGCCTCGATTACCGTTCCGGTATGATCCAGTCGTGGAACAAGCTCTGTTACAAGGGTGGTCATCTGGAGGCTTCCATCTCACTACCCGGTCGTGGTAATGTTTCTGGTTTCTGGCCTGGTTTCTGGACGATGGGCAACCTGGCTCGTCCCGGTTACTTGGCCTCTACCGAAGGCCTCTGGCCATACAGCTACCACGATGATTGTGATGTTGGTATTACACCTAACCAGAGTTCTTACGACGGTCTCAGCTACTTGCCTGGTATGAAGTTGCCCGCTTGCACCTGCAAGGGCGAAGATCATCCCAGTCCTGGAAAATCACGAAGCGCTCCTGAAATTGATGCCCTTGAAGGTTCAGTCCATTTCCTCGGTCCTGGAGAGAGCAACGCTATTGGTGTCGTATCCCAGTCTTTCCAAGCCGCTCCATTCGACACCTGGTACATGCCTGATTATGGTGAGCTTCCAGTCTCGTGTTTCTCTCAGCCAAGCTAACATTCAGCCAGAACAAATGGAGCTCTACGATACCTCCATCACCACAATGAACGCTTACAAGGGTGGACCTTTCCAACAGGCTATTTCTGGCTTGACCAACCTGAACAATGATTGGTACAACGGCAAGCAGTACCAGACTTATTCGTTCGAATACAAGACTGGTGACGAGGGTTTCATTACGTGGTATGTTGGAGAGGACAAGACCTGGACCATGAACGCATTAGCGACACGTGCCAACGGCAACATCGGTACTCGAATCATTCCTGAAGAGCCCATGTCCGTCATTGCCAACTTCGGAATGTCAAACAGTTTCGCCGCCATCAACATCGAGGATATTGAAGCCAATGACCTTCCCGCTATCATGCGGATAGACTACATCCGCATCTACCAACCCGAGGACGCTCAAATCATGACTTGCGACCCTGAGGGTTACGAGACCACAGAGTACATCAGGAACCACCCTGAGCCTTATGCGAACCCCAACCTCACTGACTGGTACGTTTTCATCACACCAAACACGCTGGCATACAGCATACTAACTGAAATCAGGAAATCTACCAAGTACGACTGGCCAAAGAACTCCTTCATGGACGGATGCAAGGAGTGAACGTACAGATTTCTGCACAGAAACTGCTGGCTTTCAGTTATCTGTTATACTCTCTTAGCGAGACCCATTTATGTCGAGTCGACTACCTTAATGTGGCACATGGCAGACGACAAATACCCCCTGACCCTCAAGACTGGATTCTCTGATTGATCGCACAAAAGCACGTAATTATAGACTGTTCGCATCTCTTTCGACCTTTTCGCAAGGCATATGCATGGAGCCTGGGGCGTTATATTTTGGATCTTACGTCTTCGCCTTCGCCACAACGAGACACGCCCGCTTGTCGCTCGCTTCGACCACGTCCTACGTTCAGCGATACCCGATACGCCTTCGGTGGTAGTGGCGTCAGCAAGAAACCTCTTTACCCTTCTCACTCATAAACGGCGCGTCCTCTGTATATCAACGGCATTTGTTTACCCTTTTACGCATCGCCTGTACAAAGCATCCTCGTCAAGGTGTTCAAGATCTCAAGACCGTGTCTTTTTTTTTCTTTCTGAATTGGAGTTGCTGGGCGGCTTTTCAATCCTATTCTTCCTGTTTTGTAATGCATTGTTCTATACTGTTGGATACTTTAGGAGCAATAAGGACTGGGGACGATATCTGATGAATGAGGAATACCTTTTTTTTTTCTGTCGATTGATATATCTGGGCGTTAATGTATAGCAGTGCGGTGCATAGGATAAGATTGTAGATGCTGGTGCGCAGACGAAGTGGGAGCAGAGAGTGAGGGGAGGAGATGTACACACCCCTGATGTTGCGGTTGTTGGATGTAACGAGTGCAATTCAAGCAGATTCAACAAGCTAATGTCCTTGTGTTTGCGTATATGCCTGTGTGAAATGAGCTAGCAGTAAATGATGTATCGTCAATTGCTCTTCTGTGGCTGGTGGTAAGTGTCACGTATTGCATCGTTGGTGGAAAGATTTCTACCCTCTCTTCATCTCGCCCCCTCACCTGAGAGGACATGGAAATCTGTTTCCCAGCTCTTCTCAGAGCCTCATTCAATCCTCTGAAAGACCGAGGTCCGGGATTTCATAGTCGCCCATGATGCAAAGCCTAATCTCATCCTTAATCATGCCTGGATCGCTGTCTGACATGGAAACACACACACACACACACACACACACATGCATCCCCAAGATGCTCCAAGAACGACTCCTTAGTAAAGCCCTGCATTCTGGACGCCATACTCGAACAGCACAAAGTAGTACAAGCCCCATCTCCGGCTCCATGACACAGGGTCAATCAACGGAGCCTAGACGGTAACATATACCCATCCTTGAAGCAAACGGCATACGACATTCACCTCTTTCAAGACGAGTGAGAACTCGGATCCCGCACTCTGTAATGTTCTCTCACAGTTTTATTGCGGCAATAAGGAATCGTGGTAATTAGCTACTTTGGTTGCCCAACCCATTGCACGGATCCTCTGCTCCTTATGGGCACACTACTACTGCGTTCATATTGCGCCGGTTGTAACATGTTCCTTCTACTGTCTTGACGTGAGATGGATCGGTGCCATTCACCAAGAGTGACTAGCAATACGCGGAGATGCAGGTCATCATGCTCAGATTTTCGTTTCGCTCACAAGGTCGAGGGCAGCAGTCGTTGAATAGATGTCCTTTTTACCTGAAGCTTGCGTGTGGCCTTGTTTCCAGATATAGGCGATGCAGATTGCGCGTGCAGGGTTGAGTTGGGTTAGGTGTGTTCTTGCCAACTGTTTCTTTTTTTCGCTTTCTCTCTTCCTCTAATGTTTTCTCTCGTCCTTTACTCCGAGTTGCTGGAGCAAGTTGTTGTCTGCTGAAAGCGTGGAAAAATCAACTCCCACCGTGTTCTCAAATTACTCACCACTCGTCATCTCCCTCCCCTCTTTACGAGACTAGGCGCCCATTCTAAAGCAGTACCATGGGGGCGATTTAGCGTCGACAAGGTGCATGACGAAGTGGCAGGAGTAGTTGGATTCTCATCGTAGTTGGATTCTCATCGTATTTGTAACATCGAACTCCCTAATAACCATGAGAAGAAGTCTAGCTAGGAGAATTCTAAAGGACTCCAAACCCCTATTCTAAGGGGCTCAGCCAACGAGGGCATAACTTAGTGACATGCGGTTTAGTATGCGGTCGAAGAGAAGACATGGCTCCTCAACCTCAAGATGTGTTTAGGTCATGTACTCGATTGAAACGTCCTAGAAATCAAGAGGTGTGTGTGTGTGTAGGGAGTGGATTCCTATACAGTGTGTAGAATGGTTAAGGAAAATCCGGTTATTTTAAAGAGAAATGGCTGTGTACCGCATGTTTTCTTTATCTGACCTGTGATGCTTGGTTCCTCAACACCTGTAATAACTGCCATACATCCCAATGGTGGTGGACGAGCATTATGGACCAAAAGATCTATTACAAGATTTGTATGTAGTAGAGTACCACGCATGTAACCGTTTCGTACCATGCAACAAGTTGATGTTCATTCGAGAACGAGGCCAATCATGGTTTCTCGTAGGGACATCGATGTGATCGATAGCATTAGAACACAATGCATCATGGAGGCCGATCGATGATGTTGAAGATGATGAAGATGAAGATGATGATGATGATGATGATCGCATTGCAGAGAAACGTTCATGCACCGGTGACGGACACAAGTGACGTTCAGACTCCCCAGTAGCGACTATTCCTGTGCAAGTGGTCCATTGTCACTGTACAGATCAATTTAAAAGCCATGTACACCTTTCTCCAGATCGACGTTGTCTTGAATGTTTTGTCCACCATCTCGGTGACAAGCGACCGGCGAGAAACGCCCTATGATCACAACCTCCTCGCGCGACCTTAGACTAGACCCTTGACGGGTGTGTAGAGTACCGCAAGGCAACTTTTTCTGCAACTACAGGGTCGTTCAATCGAAGACGGGAGACGGGATAGAACCGGGGCCCGGAAGCGTTGTGGAGGAAGTGGAGGGTCCCACACAGATCGACATTGACCATGACTCCCGCGAAAGAGATGGTATAGCCTTTGTTTAACATACCTTACTCGGAGCAGAGCGACTTTTTTTTATAAAGCGGTTACAGCGAGGTTGGGAAAAGGTGGCGCTCTTGTGCAGAGTCGTATGCGGTGATCGAAATGGGTGTCAGGACGTCGGCTCTTCGTTTCGAGTTGCGCAGAGGATTTTAGGTTGATGTTGAGTCATGCAGCAGAGGGCGAGGTGACATGATTTGCCGAGAGACATACTGCGTAGTATGCCAGTGTTCGATGGTGTGATCCTCTTTGCGGTACCTCCTGATTCTCCGGTCATTGTTCTGGTGTGGTTGGGCGATCAACGCTCTTGCTAGCATACCCTTATATTTCCATCTCTTATCTCTCAATTCTCTCCTTTCTTGTCTGCCATCTCATTTCTCATTCTTCAGCGCCTCCTCTTTCGCCCTCCTCCGCGCAGCAATCTGACCCATCTTCCTTTCCATCTCGTTTTTCTTGACCACTAATTCGGCGCGCGCGACTTCGAGCTGTGCGATTCGTTCTTCCGGTGTGGCTTGGAGGATTTGTCGTTTTTGCTACAGGCATGGATTTCAGTATGTGAAGATAGGATAGTGATTGCTAAACATACCTGCTTGACGTCTTGCTGTCCTTTCAATCCCGCACCATAGATAGTCCCAGTGATTGTAATAGTGGCGACAGCACCCGTCATGATCCATCGACGGACAGTCTGAAGGGTCGCCATATCTCGTAAGAGTCCAGAAGAGGGTAGTTTCGGTACAGCGAAGTGTCAATGGCGGGATGCCGTCATGCTGCGGTGACGGTGATGGTGGCCCAGGAAAAGTTGGCGAGTTTTGGTGGAGATTCCGAACGCAACCCGCCAAGGCCTTTTCGCCGCGGGAGTCCCACCAAGAAAGTCAGTCCGGCGCGCTGCCCCCACATGCACTCGAGCACAACAACACGACACAAACAAACAGCACCCTCTGGAACGGGTGACGTCTTCCAAGCTCGAACCAAGGCCCTCGTCAAGGGAACGATCGCATCACCACTATGTCGGGTATACCGCGCTCCCACACCCCGGCCGGCGGTTCGCGCCTCAGCACTGTTCCGTCGCAGAAACCACGCCAGCTCTCACACCTACAAGCGCAACTCGCGCAGTTGACGGCGAATATGTCGGATCTGGAGAGCCTGATGCGTATGACGGCTGGCCAGGCGCAGGACATGCGTGGGTTAGGTGGCTATGCTGGTGCCATGTGAGTTGCGACACCGTGTTTATCAACGAGAGATGGAATGAAATGGTAGACATGAACCTCAGTACTGACACAACTCCGTAGGTTCATGGCAGCGAGCAAAGTCTTGGGTGAAGAGACGGTCAAGGGCGGAGGCAGTGATAAGGAAGGGAGGGAGGGAGATAAGTGAGGCTGCAGAGCGATTATGCAGTATATCCCCCCAACACCTCGAGCGATACCACGATACGATCCTGCAAACAACGCGCCGCGGAGATGCATCGAAACTATCTGCACGAAACGATAATGGCGGAAGAGATAGGAAGGGAACATGTCCGCGAGGAAGATACAGCATCCTTGTCGGCAAGCAATCGAATGGGACAGGTAACGGGAACAAATCTCACGTCTGATGCACCTATGATACTCAGAGATAGGCCTCACTACAAGACATGTACATTGGCCATAAACACGCGACGCATCGTGGTGCACGGTTGTGCGCCCGTGTAGATATCCAGCAATGTACTCAGATACGGCAATTCGATATAAGTCTTGCCAGCCTCTCGTCACTTCTCCATCATAATGCGGGGACCCTTGCGGATCAACGTGCCTGACAATCGTTCAAAACAACCACTCTAATCACCCAGACGGCTCAGTTGGCCGACGGCGAGGCATCTCATATCAAAAAAACGCACAGATATCTCCGGTGTCCCCAACACGACCCCAACATCCCCAGACCAAGGGGACCATAAGATTGAAGCGACATTCCAGAAAGCGCTCCCATTCGCCGCGCCTCCCCGTCTATCCGTTATCCGCAGCCTGAGCGAATGATCTGCCCTCCGCAAAAAGGTATATGCTTGTTCCTGTGCGGTGCCTGCATCAGATAAGCGTCTTCACCGAGAGATAGTACTATCTCTCCTTCGTCCACGATAGGAAGGCCAGCCATACACTTGCCTACCCAAAGAGATCACGTTGCTACGCTCCCCCGTATGCCATTGGCTTGATTGGCTTACCCGGTGTGTTTCGACGTATGTAAAGTTTGTGAGGCTCAAAGGGGGGTGTGTGCGTGATGACCACTAAGAGTGGCGCTATCAATCGCGCAATGATAACGAGGGATGGTCTCACCGCGGCGTACCGCTGCTCCTATCCATGCGTTTTGTCTGAGCGTGTGCTTAAGTAGGGGTCGTGGTCCTCCTTTGTTGTGAGGTTGGAAACAGTTTACGTTGGTTCTCTGTGCCTGGATTCTCGGTCGACTCCATTCCGCTCCGCTCATCTTCCCTCTCACACTTGGAACGCCAAGGCTGGATGCCTCGAATAAGACCTTGTCTACCTGGGATGGATGGATAGATGATGGATGGCTGTGATGACGATGGGAGGCTGATGAGGGATTAGCGGGGGCCTGGGATTGCCCTCGATTGTTCAGTCATTCGACCTCGTTACGGTCTCCGACCTCAAGCATGAGGCTATTCACACATTCACGCCGTTCGCCGAGCCACGCAACACCTCGCTATCCATGTTCGCCGAGCACTTTACAACGGCCCAAGACCGGCGAGTACCGCCGTCAGACGTCATTCCATCCGTTTGACATCGGCTCCGAAAAGGCCTTTATCGCTACAATACCTTGGAGTGACATGCAGTCGCTGTGCTGTGCTGACCAAGGCTGACCTAACATGGAACCAGCGCCGGCCGGTACGTACTATACACAGAAACAGAACTTGCGCACGCGAGCCCTCCGCGTCAGCGACAAGTAGATCACGGAAGCATGCACACGAGCAGGACCCTTTCCCGTCCGTTATCTCCCACTTCTTACCCAGATCGCCCCGTTTCCTCGATGGCCAACCGTTGTATGCCCAACTGTGGATCGTCGCAGTCGGTCTTTCCCAAGAGCGGTCTTGAGGGGCACCGTCCAGGAAATTTCCCCCGAATTTTATCGAATATATCACGTCTAAATGAATCACGTACACGGACCCCCACGGGCATCCCGCGTTTTCGTATCAAGTAGGGACATGCTACCACAACCTTGCCCTACCAGCAGCCAATGTTTCAACTCGACCAAAAAAGATGTGCATCCGTCCTGGTCGCTTCTGACGATGGGGGGAGGGGGGGCTGTGTTGTTGCATTGCTAGCGGGTCGGGCGGTTGGGTAGTTCCGCGTTTGTTGTGGATTTTGGTATTTGAGGATACTGCATGCAATCGGATATTGCGTGCTTTGGTAACGGACATTTCCGCGGTTCCATGGAGACAAATGAAACACTAGAGACGGGCGGAACGCATAGCGACATCGGACCATCGTCGCTTCGTCGCGCGCTGAAAAATCAGGATAAAGCCAAAGACCACAGAAAGCAGAATAGCATGGTAAAATTGCAAGTGTGTTGAACGACATCTGCGTCTGTAGCGTGGCCCAAGTCGGCAATGCGGCGACAAGCGAGGTTAGGGCGGATTGAGTCGGGTTTAGCAAAGCGTCTAGGCTCCACATCCTTGCTGTATTGCGCTGCATGCAAGTCAGATGCAAGTGGCTTTTGGGGCTTGCATGAGACAGGGAATCACAGCTTAGGCCGCTTAACTCTCTGGGGCAACGAGCGTGGGGTTGTACTGCTGCTCAATATCTGGTGAACCTTGTCTATGCATGGTGGTTCTGTCATTGATGAGTAAGTACCTAGTGGCATCTTAATCCTTTGCAGCAGATGCATAATCACTGGATGAATTGTAAACGTATGTTCGTACCTTCTTGTCCTTCGGCTTTTGACATGTGAAACTCCACCGATTTGGTCAACAGGGATCTAGCCGATCGTTTCCAGGTTAGCGGACGCGCAACACCAAACATTGGTGTTTGCGGCTGGTACTAGATGAATCTCAGCCCGAAGTAATGCCATGATGCCACGGTCGCGAGTGGGTAGATCAACATCTCCCTGGACCCTTTACTTTGGTGGGTAGCCCGGTGGGTACAAGCAGTTCGACCTGAAAAGCAATATGCTGCATGAAGTGAGTCCACCAATTACCAGTACCATGCAAGGTGATATTAGGGACGACAGTTCGCGGCTAAACCTGACGTTCGTTTGGGAAATTGAAGGGACCGAGAGCGAGAGAGACGGAGATAGCAACGGCGCGTCCGATCCACACGTACCGCATAAGTCGTCTCGAGATCGTTGAGACCTGTCGTTGCTAGTGAAGCGTGCAACGTAGTCAGTTGTCAGTCGAATAGCGTGTATCCAAGACTCCGTCTAGAAGACGAACCCGTCGAGTCTTCCCTGCTCTCCGTGTGGCCCTAGAGATGGTTCGAGATCTTGAGCAGCACAATGTGCATATGTTCTAGAAGAAGAGGTAAGGCCGAAGACAGCGGCCTACAAGCTGCATGTTGTTCTCGACTTTACAGTTTGGTCGTCTCCACCGTCCGCGTCACCGTTGGATCTTGCAGTGTCCTGGTGTCTACCAGGCGTACGGATACAACTGCGGAACCGCAGAACGATGCTATTGTTCAGGCCCCCTAGGCATTAACTTGAGTGAAGTTGTGAACAAGTGGACTGTGGTAGCATTAAAGGATGCGCTGTCGGAAGGAGCGTCCGCTACCAACGGCGTCAGCCGCATTGTTGCTGTTGTTGAGCGCGCCGTAACTTGGGATTTATCTTTTGGTACCAGCAGGCGTTGTCGGATGCCACTAGAAGCGCAGTTCGCTCTCCACCACGTGCTTTGGCGCTATGGGCGGTGGATCCGTTGTCGCACAAGCCCATCGATAGCTGTGGACCTGGTAAACAAAGACCCTGAAATTGTGAGGCTATCGGGAAATCTAGGAAAGGAAGTGCCGAGCGCGATAGAGCTCGGCACCATTCGGATGACATACTCCACAGTCGGGTAAACGATGGAGATGTTGTAGAAAGTGTAGACGCGGTGAAAGCCCTTTTTTTTTTCTTCGGCGGTGGTCACAAGACATGGTACTACTGCTCCTGTATAAGCTACATGCAGTCGGCTGACATGCTTCTCGTTGACGGGAGGCGAGGCACACTTTCCCTGTGTTGTAAATTACAGCCGCAGCCACTGCCTCGACCGACTACAGGTAGCGTAGGCGTACAGAATCGGCTTGTTGCTAGACGCTGTAGACGGTCAGAAGGAGCGGATAGGCAATGCACAGGAGCCAATGGAGACGGGCTATTTATTCGCGTAAGCTTTTGCCGGCTGGTGTTGGTGGGTCGTAGTCGCGCAGTAGAACATGTCAAGAGGGAACATTGGCGAGGGACAGTGACGTCCTGGGATCAGCGCTGTGCAGCTGGTAAGGTAGTTCTTCTAGTCCTTCTCGAATCAAAACACCGAGAGCCTAGGAGTAGTCGTGTGTGTTCCAAGCTCAGGCATGTGTCTTGTGAGTGGTGTACTCGTGCCCATCCGGATGAGAGCAGTCCGATAAATTTCCCGCTCATACTTTGGCCTCCGAGACTCTGTCCGGGGTTCCCAAGTATTCTGGTAGCACGGTTCAGGCGGTCTCGATAGGAACAAGGGCGTGCATGCTAAGCGGCAAGGCAAGCATTCTCCCG